GTCCTTCGGCCTGGAAGAAATGATACAGCAACGATTTCTCTTCATTCTCTGTACTACCTGCAAAGCTTAGAATTGTCTTTATGAGAGGGTTTTTCCATGTCGCCACCACATTACTCAAAGAGGAACAATATTGCAGAAACTCACAATGCAGTGATACAAGCAAGTAATTCTTGGGGTTGAAGCATAGCATCCTCATGAAATTTAAACCACGAATTGCTGGGGGGGGGGGGGTTCACCCGAGAGAACACCTATCTAGGAATTTCTTGGTCTTCCAGCATGACTCTACGGTCAACATCTGCTGGAAGGTGGCATTATTGTTGTTGTTGTTGTTTATACCCCGCTTTATCTCTCCCGCAGGAGACTCAAAGCGGCTTAACATAAAAACATCTGCATACAATTTAAGCTAGACAAATAGAATTACGGAGGAAGACCTAGAGATGCCTATGGTGATGTTCTCTAAGTCCTCTAGCATGATTGGAGGAAATTGACCATGGAGCCACATGGGAGGCCCTAGAGATTCTTAAGCAGACCATTTTAAGCAAATCTAGAATAATCCAATCTGCAAACGTGTCAGACTGACACTATTTTGATGTGACATTCTACAGAGGATGCTTCCATATCAGCTCCCATATCAGTAGGGAATCGAATATATCAGAGTTTAGCCCATATTTCAAATGAGCTTTTCAAAATGCTTAACCTATCCTCAAAATAAATGCAGAGCTTCACATACCTCTAACATTTGAACTAAACTGAGAGCCTACTAAATATATCTACTGACATTGGGAGCCTCTGTCTGCCATCACCGCTTCCAGGGTAGCATTATGGTATACCTAGCACTTCAAGTGTTGTTAGATTCCAGTTTCTATCAGCTATTCCTGACCTGTTTAGTGGTGAAAGATGGTGGCAGCAGTAGTAATTTATCAAAATCTGAAGAGTCACAGGTGCGCAGCCTCTGCTTTGTTCAGCTATAGGCAGCGTTGACACAAATTGGATGAAGAGGTATTGTCTCAATAGTTACCTTGTTCAGGTTTTTATGCTTCATGTAGATTTGAAAGAAACCAAGTATTAAGAATGTAGTCAGAGAAAATCAGTGTGTTGCTTAAAACATTAGCACCTGGAGTATTGTGAATTGGAATTGCTATGCACACTTGTGAAATCTATAGTTAGGGCAGAATATAAGCTAGAGGAATGACTATAAAAGAGTCAGTACTAGTTAGAAAGATATTGATTTTGTTACAAAGTGATGAACAAATAACCTGAATAGGGTTTGAGAAGCTGAGAATATGAAAGCAGTTCAAGGGAAAGTGCTATTTTGTTGAAACTGAGTGTTACCATGTGCTGCATAAGGTTCCAAAACCAGAATAAGGCTAAATGGGTTTTTAAGTATTACAGTAAACCTTCACTGTTGTTATTTCTATAACTCTTGTTATAGAATTGCACTGCAGTCATCGGAGGAGGCCCTACTCTCGGTCCCACCCCCAACCCAAGCACAGCTGGTCAGAACAAGAGAGAGGGCCTTCTCCATGGTCGCCCCCCTATGGAACTCCCCGCTAAAGAAATAAAGCTGGCTCTCTCCCTCCTCTCCTTTAAAAACAACTGAAGACCCACTTCTGCTCTCTAGCATATGGAAAGGAGGAGGAATAGATGGTTGAGAGACCACTCCCAGGCCTCTGGTTGAGAACTATTTGTATTTGGGCTTTCCTGATCCATGCCAGCCCAATGACCTCATTTGACTACATAACTAACCCACACTGTTTTGTGAACCCTTGCTGGATGTTGTACACTAATGTGGATGTTTTGGTTAGATTTATGTTATTATATAATTTTGTCTGATTACATGTAGTTTAATTTATTGATGCCAGGTTTAATTTACTGATGTTAGGTCTTAATTTGATGCTAGGCTTTAATGTGTTTTTTTCTGGGATTTTATGTTAGTATTGTGTGTTTTATGTATGCATTGAATGTTTGCCATTGTTATGCTGGAATCCGCCCTGAATCTCCTTGGGGAGATAGGGTGGAATACAAATAAAGTTTGTATTTGTTGTTGTTGTTGTTGTTGTTATTATTATTATTATTATTATTATTATTATTATTATTATTAAACATATTAATCAGTATGGGAGCCAATCAACAACTCTAAAGACCATGGCTCCAATGTTACTGATTTGAAAATGTGATGCATTTCAGTTGCTTTATGTTACAGATCATAGTTACTATTTCACTTTAAAACATGGGGAAGGGCTGCATGCAGTCAGTCATGTATGGAAAGTTTCGTCCAAATGTCCAAACAGCCTCCATTAACCAAATTTTATACATTTACTTAAAAAAACTTAGCTACAGCTAGATATATGTAAGTCCATTAACAGAAACACACAACATTCCAATAATGTATATAGCAAGCACTACATTAAAATTAATATGGATGCATAATAATAACAACAACAACAACAACAACTTTATTCTTATATCCCGCCACCATCTCCCCGAAAGGACTCGGAGTGGCTTACAGATGGCACAAAGTGCCTAAAAGCAAACATAAAAGTGAACACAATATAAAATACAATAAAATAAAACACATGCACATATAAAAACATCAATTCCGACTCAGTCAAGCTGATTCTCAAACTGCATTCTGTACTAGTAAAGTGCTCAACAAAATAGATCGAGCTGCTAGGGTTTTTGGACTTTCAAAATCAGGTATGTAAGAACTGATTTCAAACTTTGCAGTGAGGATGTCTAAAATTCTCCTGTTTGCAGTTTGTAGATGGAGTGGATACCAAATCTCTGCATATTCAATGGCTAAGGTCCCAGCTGGGGCTTGTGCAGCAGGAACCTATTCTGTTTGACTGCAGCATTGCGGAGAATATCCAGTATGGTGACAACAGCAGAGTGGTCAGCCAGGAAGAAGTTGAAGAAGCAGCTAAAGCAGCTAACATTCATAACTTCATACAAAGCCTGCCAGAGGTTAGTTGTTCATTGCTTTCTTTCTCAACAAAAATATTCCTCTTAGGTTGCAAAGATTATCTTTTTTAAAATAATGTTTTTAATTAAAGTTCAATTTAACATAAAATGTAGTATAAGGGAAAGGAGAAAGACCATGGTTTCTTGGGAGGGGAGGGGGAAGGGGGTAGGAGAAGAAAGGGAAGGGAAAAGAAAAAAAAGATGGGGGGATGAAAGGTTTGACCTCCAGTCTTCTCAACTGTGGTTGTTGACTTCTGTTATTCCCGTTTAGTCTGTTTAGAATCGCTTTCTCCTTTTCTGTTCTATCATGGCATGACATTATCTGCTTGTCGAGCTTCTTAAATGTCCACTAGCAATGTAATGTTTTCTTTATTGATGTAAACCTTAATGGGTGACCAGTCCATTGCTTTCCTCATTTTTGCTAGATTGCTGTTTAATATTAGTGTTAAAACGTCCATATTAATTATATCTAAGTTTCAAAATCCATTGTTTTTTTGTTGGTAACTCTTTCGACCTCCATATTTCTTTTTTGTCTGCCTAGTTAATTTGTCCATCTCAACAGATTTGAAGATCTTCATCTCCTTTTAAAGGAGGTGGCAAAAGTGAGAATGGCCCAGGATGTCATGCTAGATCATCGAGTTTTACCTATAAAGCCCTAAACAGTTTGGGCCCAGGCTATTTGTCTAACTGCATCTCCCTATAAAGACATCTTGTACACTGCAGTCAGAAGTGGAGGCCCTGATCTCGGTCCCACCCTGTCACAAGTGTAGTCGATGGGAGCGGGGGGGGGGGCTTCTCCGTGATTGCTTGCCGCCTCTGGAACACCCTTCTCAAAGAATTAAAAATGGCCTCTACCCTCCTCTCTTTCAAAACATTTCTGAAAACACATTTATGTACCTTAGTGTATGGAGAGGAGGAGAACTAGCACACTCTAAACCAATTTCAGTGGAGCACTGATTCATTATTTGCGCTTTACGGCTGCTACGGCATATTTTAAATCACAACTGAGGTCAGGCACTTTTTATGCCTTTTTGTTGTTTGTCTTAGGTAAAGGCTTTTAGTGTTGTTGTGTTTTATTGGTGTAATTATGTTTTATTCAAGTACTTGTATTTTCTTTTTCATTTCATTTCATTTTTAATTTTGTCTTTAGTTATAGGGTTACTAATGCTATTTTGTATTATTTTGATGTGTGTGAATTTGATTATGACATTGAATGTTTGCCTTTTTGATGTAAACCTCCTTGAATCCCCTCGGGGAGAGAGGGCAGTCTATAAATAAAGTATTTATTTCTTAATTAATTATATTTATTATTTTCTCCTTTGTTTCTATGAAACTTTGCATAGTGCATGCACAAGAGTTTTAATATTGCCTTGCAACTTAAGTGATTTTCACAACACTTACATAGTCTGTTTATTTCATTTTAATCCAAAGAAATACAATACTCGCGTAGGTGACAAAGGAGCCCAGCTTTCAGGAGGACAGAAACAAAGAATAGCAATTGCCCGCGCCCTTGTTCGTAAACCAGCAGTTCTTCTTTTGGATGAAGCCACATCAGCTCTCGATACAGAAAGTGAAAAGGTTTGTAAAACTTCATCCTACAATATTTGGACAGTAAATAGACAAATGGTTACAATTTATGTTTTTCAATTGTACTACCATTGTAAAAATGTTTGTTTTTTGCTTTCACCTGCAGGTTGTCCAGAAGGCCTTGGATGAAGCTAGGAAAGGTCGAACCTGCATTGTTATTGCTCACAGATTATCAACTATCCAGAATTCCGACATCATAGCAGTCATCCAGAATGGCAAAGTAATAGAACAGGGAACTCACAGCCAGCTTCTGGCACTAGAGGGATTCTATTATACACTCGTCAATTCACAAGTATCCCATTAGCCTAAATTTTTAGGGTCCCTTTGTTTATACAGCCAGAAATAGAACATACAGTAGAGTCTCGGTTATCCAATCTTCGCTCATCCGACACTCTGAACTATCCGACACCCCTACCCCCCCCCAAAAAAAATACAGCAGGTCCACCAGGCGCATGCTTCTGGCCTGCACTGGCCACATCCCGCCCCTCCCAATGGATGCCAGGCTCCTGATTCTGCCGCCGGGACCTGGCCCGGTGAGTGAGTGAGCATGGGAGGGAGAGAGCGGGGTAGGGCGCCAGGGCCTGGAGGAGGCAGAAAGGGGAGGCCCCAGAACAAAGGGGGACCTCCGGACCCTGCTCTCTCCCTCCCAAGCAGCATCTATATTACAGTATAGGCTTTTCCTTAATCCCTTCCTATTATATTTTTGCTTATCCAACATTCTGCTGGCCCATTTATGTTGCATAAGTGAGACTACTGTATGAAAAAAAAAATGATGCACTGATTCAAGATACAAGAAAGCATATGCCTATTCTGACTGGCCAAAGGTGTTCGGGCCTTGTTTTTGTTCCCCGTGCCATGTGGCAAATGACTTTTGAAACTGAAGATATGATGACATGGCAAGAAGAAGGGGGAAATCTCCTATCAAAAACTTCACTAGATATACGCAGACCTCTCAGTCATTACTGAGACTGGCTTTGCCATGTCTTCGTAACTATCAAGTGATGTTCAGGCTCACACAGATGTGAAATGCAGCTCAGTTAGGAATGAGAAACATATTTATCATCTGCTTTCATACTGGGTTTTTTTGTATAATGATTTTAATTTTGTCGGAGTAATAAAAATATTTGAAAAGAGAATAATTTCATGATTATTTTGGAGAAAACATGAAAGCCACCATAAGTAATATCATTTCTACCCACTTTAGTACCCATTACTGATATACCACATTGGCTGCTCAATTATGCATGTGTCAGTAACATGTCCTGGCCCAGCTCCATCACCACCACCAAATTACCATGAGAGTTAGCAGCCAGATCAAGCAAAGGGGGTCAGTTCAACTGCTGACTAGGGCTCAAGGGTAATGTTTTCAGTCTTCTCCTGCCAGCAAGATCCTTCTTCTGTTTATCACAGCCCATGCTCACTGATGGAAATGGATGGGAATCATCATCACTGTGCTCTGATAAACATCTGAACAAACCTCCTTCACCCAATTTGATTGCTGGCTCTTCATATGGGGTGGAGGGCATTTATCATGCACACTTTTGTATAAATTGCCTTATGTGCAAGGGGGAATTTGTGGGGCGCTGTTTGGATTTTGATATGACCTGTAGACAAGTTGAGGAATGAGGATAATTTCGCAGTGAGGGGAAATCCCAGTAGTGCCTTAGAGGGCCATCCACTGTTGGTCACCGTTGTAAAAAAAAAATGCGCAAACATTTTAAAAAAGGCCAAAAGCAAAAGGTCAGTTACTCAACCCGCCTTGAATCACCATATGGTTGGGAAAGTCATAAATAAATAAATAAAGAAATAAAGAAATAAATAAATGTTTAAGGATATTTTGACACAGACAAAACTCTCACCTTTCATTGTACTACTTAGGCAAGGGGATGGTTCCTTTTCAAAATAAGAGTAAAGGCACAGTACTTCTATTGACCCATAGATTTATTGACCCAGTTTTGGGGGTTGGGTTTTTAACTAAAATTTCTAGATTTGTACACAAGTATATACAGTTCTGTGTGGGAAATTTGGCCCAATTCTATAGGTGGGGTTCAGAATGCTCTTTGATTGTAGGTGAACTCTAAATCCCAGGAACTACAACTCAAAAAATGTCAAGGTCTATTTTTCCCCAAACTCCATCGGTGTTCACATTTGGGCATATTGAGTGTTCATGCCAAGTTTGGTCCAGATTCATCATTGTTTGAGTCCACAGTGTTCTCTGGATATAGGTGAAGTACAACTCCAAAACGCAAGGTCAGTGCCCACCGGTCCAGTATTTTCTGTTGGTCATGGGAGTATTGTCTGCCAAGTTTGGTTCGATTCCATCGTTGGTGGCATTCAGAATGCTCTTTGATTATAGATGAACTATAAATCCCAGCAACTATAACTCCCAAATGACAAAATCAATACCCCCGCCCAACTAGTATTCAGATTTGAGCATATCGGGTATTTGTGCCAAATTTCGTCCAGTGAATGAAAATACATGCTGCATATCAAATATTTACATTACAATTCATAACAGTAGCAAAATTACCGCTATGAAGTAGCAACTAAAATTGTATGATTGGGGGTCACCATAGCACTAAGGGGTCGCAGAATTAGGAAGGTTGAGAACCACTGACATAGAGTAATTACAGGTCCATAAACTGAGATTACGAATCCATAACTGTAGTATTCAATGGCAACCAACATACAAGCTCCAAGAGACATCATACATGGATATCAATCTTGTGTAAACAGAATAATCCTTCATGATGGCTTCCATGATGGTGAACGAATTCCTGACAAGACATTTCTCCAGCCTCTATAGTATTTCTATTGCGATTCTGTCCAGAAGTAGCCCCCTTTGAGAAGATCTAATGTTAATTGGCACATGCAAGAATCCAGTTCATATATGTGTACCTGTATGTATGTGTGTGTATAATGGAAATATAAAAATACATACAGGTACACATATATGAACTTGATTCTTGCATACTCCAATTATATTTGTAGCTTACCAAACCATCCTAAATTAAAAAACAGTTTAAAATTAAATGCTCCTGCTTCCCTATCCCTATATGATTACCATATTATGGGTTCAAAGTGCTTCAGCAATGGAAAGTGATAATATTCAAGACATATTGCTGGAGCACCGAAGAAGAAAGGAAATTGCAAGGAACTTGACAATGCCACTGCAGGTGCAAATGCCACTTAAAGATTGGCTCTTCCCTTTTAAGGGAGCACCCAGTGGTGCAGTGGGTTAAACCACTGAACTTGCTGATCGAAAGGTCGCAGGTTTGAATCCGGGCAGCAGGGTGAGCTTCTATGGTTAGCCCCAGCTTCTGCCAACCTAGCAGTTCGAAAACATGCAAATGTGAGTAGATCAATAGGTACCGCTCCAGCGGGAAGGTAACAGCATCCATGCAGTCATGCCGGTCACATGACCTTGGAGGTGTCTACAGACAATGCTGGCTCTTCGGCTTAGAAATGGAGATGAGCACCACCCCCCAGAGTCGACATGACTGGACTTAATGTCAAGGGTAAACTTTTACCTTTACCTTCCCTTTCAGTTGGAAGGTGTTAATATAATTCTTCCTTTGTTGATTACTGTAGATACTCTACTTCCTGAAAATCATTTCACACCAAAAAAAAATTAAAAAGCAAGTACAGGTAAAAGCATACAATGGTTACTGTTAAAATATAATTGGATCATCAAACTAAAACCAATTAAAACCTCAATTTTAAAAGGTAAAAAATAAAAACTATATACCACAATGGTTTAAACTGATTTTTTCCCCTTCAAAACAGATCCCAAAAGCTTAGCAGAAGTATTTTTAGAACAATCTTCAGCTATTTTTGGTTCTGGAAAGATCTGTGACATTTAGCTCCTGGAAAGATTGTGGCAGACAATCCTGTTTCAGGCAGTTTGGCCTGGTTTGCTGCAACTGACCTGAAAGTTTCGCAATCTCCAGATTGTCACATCTTCTCTTTTTCTGGAACTCTCAGGGTTATAATAATTGAGAAATTGTGTATATTTCACATTAATGTTCAAATCTAAAAAAATCTGTTATTGCAAAATTCAAGGCAGAGATTACTTATATAATCTATATAACTTACTTTGTGCAGAATGCCTCCTGGCCTAAAATGCAATAACCTGGAGCTAACGTCAACTCATTTACTAGAAACAAGTCAGAGATCTTTTACAGCACTCTTGCTTACGTTTATACTTAGAGGCACCTACATTGTGTTTCATTGTACATTTTCCTGGATTTGTTCGTATAGGATTGCATCCTCTGTGATTTGGCAAGATTTTATGTGAAAATACAGTACAGTCAGCCCCACACACTTGCAAAACTTAACTTTTGCAGATTTCATTAATGTGTTTTCTCTAAGGATCTCTAGGTCCTCCAGGATGTTCTTATGGTCAGCTTCCATTGAAAATTGGCCATAGATTTTCCCTGGAAGATCTAGAGATTCCTAAAGAGGTGTTTCCCCCATGAATTCTTTTTTAATTGTAGTTTTCCCACTTTCATGGGTATCTTGTGCCCTTAACTCAAGGAGACCCTGATGGCTCAACCCATTACCCAA